GTATATTAGAGATGAGGAGCTAAGTGACTATGAAAAAGTAAAAGCTATTGTTCTAAAAGAGTTCGAACCTACACCACAAATTGTTTTAGAAAATTTTAAAAAGGCTCAACGCCTAAATAAGTCCCATGTGCAGTTCGTGTTCACGATTAACAACGTCAAATTTTCGAATATTACTTAAAATTGAAGAAAGTTGTCTGATTTTGAAACTCTGAAGCAGTTAATAATATCAGCCAAACTTGTTTGAGACATTAGATCGAGAAACGTCAGCCCATATTTCTGTAAGGCAAGCTGAAAGTTGGTTTCCGCCTCAACAAATGGCGAAGGAAGCAGATTTATTTTTTACATCTCGCGGAAAGTCCCTTACCGCAAGTGTGGACAGTTTTCAAAAATCTCGCAACCATTACAAAACGTCGAAAAATGTTTCAAAGGTATTCCTTGCCGATGTAAAAGGTTTAAAGTGTGTTCTTTGTGAGGAAAATCATTTTTTGGCAAAATGCCCACATATCTTGAAACAACCAGTGAATGATCGGGTTGAAATCATCAAAAGTCATAAATTATGCTTTAATTGTCTAGCCTTAAATCATTCTGTCAAAATCTGCAAATCAAAGTTTTCGTGTTCCGTTTGTGGGAAAAGACACCACGTGACACTGCATTTTCCGGTAGAAAATAAATCATCGAAAGAGAAGGAAAAAAATAAAAACGAAACAGCGAGTAGTTCCAATGTGCTTTCCCCTCTAGCGCCAGACTTTCTGCCTAACAGCGGTAATACTCTACTTACAGCGACTAGTGTAAACAGATCCGAAAAAAGTGTTCTTCTGTGCACGGCTATTTGCTTTATTAGTGATGGTATGGGTAAGCTACATCCAGTCAAAACATTACTTGATGGCGGCAGTGCTTCATCGTTTATAAGCAGAGATTGTGCGAATAAATTCAACTTTGATTCTAAGAAGGTAAACATTGCGATTTCCGGATTAAATGATTCCTTGTTTACAATTCGAAAAAGAGTTTCGGCATGCATTAGCAATAAAGATAAAAGTTACAGGAGACATTTAGACTTATTAGTAGTACCAAAAATTCACGCAAGATTTGATTCATTCTAAGGAAAATTAGATATTAAAATGCAGGATTTTTGTAACATAAAATTAGCCTGATGAGAATTTTAATGTTCCAGAACGTATAGAGATGCTTTTAGGAGCTGAGGCTTTTCTTTGAAGATATTAAAATCTGAACAAATTCGCTATGAAAACTTCGAGTCTTATTTTACAAAACAGCGTGTTCCGGATTGTATTAGTGTGGGGAAGCGTTACATCAGAAGAACAGAGCCAGCCGTACATTGTGGGTTAATGAAAACATATAATGACTTAGAACAAACAATGAGAAAATTTTGGGAAATAGAGAATGTTGAAATAGCCATTCCAAAAAAATAAAGAAACAGCGATATGTGAAGAACATTATGTGCAAACTCATAAGCGGAATGAAGAAGGGAGATACATTGTAACAATGCCACTAAAGGAAGATCCTATTTTTTTAGGAAATTCAAAAGATTTTGCCTTTGAGAGATTAAATTCCCTATGGAAAAGATTAGTTAAAGACCCTGAATATTTGAGTCTGTATCAGGATTTTTTAAAGGAGTATGAAGAGCTAGGGCATATGACTGAGGTTAAAGAGAAAAATGAGCCTAGGGTAGTGTCCTATATGCCACATCATGGAATATACCGACCTCAAAAAAACAACAACTAAATTGAGAACAGTGTTTAATGCATCATGTTTAACATCAAATGTAATTTCGCTAAATTCTTTACAACGTAATGGAGGGGTTATTCAAGATGATCTCTTTTCAATCATGCTTAGATTTAGAAAGTACCCATTCGCATTTACGGCGGATATTAGAAGAATGTATAGAATGATTGAAATTAACCCTGAACAGAGATGCTTGCAGCGAATCCTGTGGAAAAAAGAAAATGATGCACCTGTGAAAATCTACGAGCTTAATACTGTGACTTACGGTACAGTTAGTGCTCCATACTTAGTTATGAGAACTCTTAAACAATTGTCGATTGATGAAGGTCCAAAATTTCCATTAGCTGCGCCAGTCTTACTTAAAAACTTTTATATGGATGATGTGCTTAGTGGAGCGGAATACAGCTAAGGAGCTTAAATCTCAGTTAACTGCAATACTGAAGAGTGCAGGAATGACACTGCACAAGTGGTGCAATAATCATGTTGAACTTGCGGAAGAAGATCACTCCTATTCCTTTCCTAATGAAGCAGAATCTACAACACTTGGAGTGTCTTGGAAGTCTAGAAGAGACTGTTTCTGTTTTAGAGTGAAACTCGATAATGACATAGTTGTTACCAAACGACAAATATTGTCCACAATTGCAAGATTGTTTGACCCGATTGGTTTACTAGGGCCAATCATAAGTAAAGCCAAAATATTCCTCCAACGGTTGTGGTTGTTAAAGCTGAATTGGGATGAACCACTACCAAAAAAGGAAGCTGATGAATGGAAGAAGTTCTCTACTGAACTGGAAGTTTTAAGTAAAATAGAAATTGAAAGGTTTATTCTTATTGCAGAAGTAGACTATGTGGAACTTCATGGATTTGCAGATGCCTCTGAGGTAGCTTACGGAGCAACCATATGTTGCAAGTGCCGTTCGAGAGATGGAGAAGTGAAGACAAGACTAGTGACGAGTAAATCCAGAGTCTCGACTATTAAACGAGTTACTATTCCGAGACTGGAGCTTTGTGCAGCAGTCCTGCTTGCAAGGTTGATGGTTAGAGTAATATCTGCACTAGCGATTCCTGTGAAAAAGTGTATCTGTGGAGTGACTCTATGATCGTGCTTTCGTGGATACAAAAGGAGCCTTACCAATTGAAGACGTTTGTTGCAAATCAAGTGGCAACAATTCAAGAGTTGACTAATGGTCATCAAGGGCGTCATGTGTCATCAAAGGAGAATCCGAGTGATCTTATATCCCGAGGTTTGGATCCCAGTAAACTTCTACAAAATGATATGTGGTGGAAAGTCCCTCTGATCCTGAGATACGACGACTACCCAAATAGAGAGATTCCGGTGGAAGTCATTGTGAAGGACTTTCCAGACGAACTTAAAATCCTTAGTGACTCTAATATTTTTCTTAATGTGAAAGCTAACCCTTTCATTGAGAATTTCTTAAATTTAAGTAACAATTACATTAAAATTATTCGTGTTTTAAGTTTTATTTTTAGGTTTGTAAACAACTGCAAGGGGAAGGACAAGGTTTCAGGTCCTCTTCAGAGCTCAGAATTAAAATTATCTGAATTTAAACTGATTAAGCTAATTCAAGATAGTGAATTTAAAAAAGAAATCTCAAGCCTTGAAAAGGAGGGTAAGGTACCTCCAGATAGCAAGGTAAGAAGCGTTTTTCCATTTTTAGATCAGTATGGAATTTTACGAGTTGGAGGCAGATTAGCTAATTGTAAGTTGAATTTTGATAGAAAATTTCCTATAATCTTTCCAAAGAATCATAAGTTGACTAATCTAATTATTGTTGTATTTTCTTATTATAGTAGTTTGATTTTGTTGATGTTATTATTTGATGTTTACAATTATTTACCTTTATTTCATATTGTCACTCTGTGTAATTTTTTATTGTAAGATCTAATTTTGAATGATTACATCATGTCAAGGCGGGCGGTATGTTGCACCTGCGCGCGCATTTCATTACTAGCGTCGGCGCATGCGCCTTGAGCTTTTGGAGTTTGTGATATGAGATTGTGAGCGAAGAGCGTGTGAGAGAATTCGTGGCTTCGAGTGGCCATGAACGATGTAAATTAAGGAGAATAAAGGTGAGATATAATACAGTCCATTGTTCCTGAGTTTATTAAATTATAGTGTAGTGCCTGTGCAAAACAGTTTCTGATGCTCTAATTATTACATTTGATTCTTGCTATCTTTAATAGCGTATAGGCGGCTAATACAAAATACTATAATTTCTTATATCCTCTACATTTCCAAAGATAGTAAGATTTAAGGGTGCCAACAATTCGAAATTAAAAAATTTCATGAAAACTGGGTCTTTGCAAAGGCGTAGCTAGAGTTTCCAGCGCCCGGACCCAACTGAAGAACTTGCGCCTCTTTCTGTGTGCCAAGAATAGAAAACATTTCATTAAGAAATTTCGTAGCATCAATTAGGCGCCCCTTGAATGCTGCGCCCGGGGATAGATGTCCCCTTTTGCACCACGCTAGCCACGCCACTGGGTCTTTGTATTGAGGTACATTCCACAAGATAAGAAGGAGAAAAACCAATCTTGTTTGTTTACATCACGTGATAGTATTCTGTGAAGTCATCTACATTGTTTATTTAAAGCTACAAGAGACAGGAGCCTTAATTTACATTAGCTGTACATATGTCACGTGATCACTGATGTCATCAGAATGTAATAACATAAAAATTTTATAAGTGCAGTTTGTAAGAAGGAGGTTAGAATTTGTAACAAGGTGGTCTATTCTAACCTTCATAGTTTGTAATCACACACACAGATCGTATTTTATTATCGAGTGTCAAGATGTAGAAACATCTTTTTACTCGACTTATGATAAGCATCGGGTTGGGGGAGAAGTAACTTCAAAATAAACATACTTAAAAAAACATACTTAAAAAACATACAAACATACTTTAAAAAAAATTAAACATTAATTTAGAACATTTTGACGATTTTAAACAGAAACTACTATTTATTAAATTAAACGGTGATTAATTTAATTGTTTAATACACTTTATTTGGTTACTAGAACTAATATTTGCTTAATGTGAGTGTCGTATTTAGAAGCTATCTTTAATTCTAATCTAGTTAAGGATTCATAATTCATTTAATAATTGAAAATGAACAACTTAACTTTTATCAAGCAAAATTCAAAAGCTAAATTTTAAATCAGTTCTTTTTTAACAATGATAAATAATGTGTAGGAATCAAGCCACAGCCGTGTCACCACAATTAAATTGCCTCTTCCGAAGAAGACAGCATTGGTGTAGTGGTGACGCTATCGATTTAAATTCTGCTGTGAGTGTTGATAAGAATTTGTGAAGTTAATTTTATGTTTAATAAAAGAGATATTAACTACAAGTATTTATCGAAATGAGTTTAAGTTACGTTCAAGTGGCTGAGGATGAAGGCGAGGAACCGATTGAAGTACCATGCGAAGAAGATGGAACGCTTTTATTGACAACATTGGCTGCACAATTCCCTGGTACTTGTGGATTAAAATATAGAAATCCTGGAACAGGAACTATGAGAGGAGTTCGAGTTACTGATGGGAAATTGCTTCCACCTCCAGGATCTGGTTGGGGAAATTCCTTATATATCTGTGTTTTTCCTAAAGGTATGAAATTCCGTTTTTTGAATTGGTATGATTCTAACAGTGTATGTAGGCTTAATCATATTACCTTGGCCTCATTATGATTCAACACTGGTGCAATTTCATTTTGTTAAAGTTCTTTGTACTTAACTGCAAATGGATACGTTGATGAAGGTATATGTAATCCTTAATTTTAATTATTGGGTGATTGACAGAATGAATATTAGAATAAATGGAAGTTGGAACTTCCAATTATTTTAATCGAAGACTGAAGAGATGACATATAAAGTTTGACATAAAGAAAAGTTAATATTAATATTTATTATCACATTTCGATATTCATTCAGACTTCTGGAGAACTACAATATGCGGAATTTCTATAGTCATGTACGTTTTCAGTGCAGATTAAAAGTTTAATAATGTTTTTCTGAACAGAAGTTGAACATCCGTAGTTGTAAAACTGATATTAAGTGCAAGGTTTACCTCCAGTATGCAAAATTATTATAGAAATAGATATAAGAAAATTTTTATGTTACTACTATGATTACGACAAATTAGGAATTAAATATACATTGTGTATCCCTATTTAGTAGAGACAATTGGTGGGGAAGTGCAGAATCGCCCACTGCTTGGCGAGATTTTAAGAATTGCACATACTCGGTATCCATGTACACATCGACCTATTCACAGAAATGGCATTGTGCACTCCCTTGACTTTATACATGTACACGTTGACCAATTTTCACTTAAAAAGTCAAAGAAAATTGACAAAAATCCAATTTTTCTTACTTTTGTAAAAAGCACCAAACAAACGGCAATCAAATAAGTGGGCGATTCTGCACTCTAGCTTGTTTGAGATTTGAAAGGATGGAGGATGTTTTCCAAATGATTATGTGCAAGGAAAAGGGAACATGTAACAATTTTTACTTTTTTAGATGCTTCGCAGTGTTACCACAAATTAAGAATTGATTTGTATCAATGTTTGCACCTTTTCCCTTTTAAGAGAGAAAATTTTTTTTTTAAGTAAAGAATTTCTAAATTTTGTGACATTAGGAAATGATTCAAATTGTTCACGTTTTTCTTAGTGAGGGATTAGTTGTGATTATGGGTGAACAAAAAAAAAAAAAAAATGTATAAACTGAATTTCCTTGCATAATTTTTTCTTTTTTTTTGTTGGTTTTATTGTTTGAAGATCAAGAAGGGGAAAATTATGCGAATAATTAAATTTCCAAAGGATATAGTTCCACCAAGAACAATTAAGCACAGTTAACTATCACAATAGTATTTCTTTAAAAGAAACATACATTTCAATAAGGATGAATATTATAGTGTCTAACAAAATGTTGGTAGTACAGTCAAAAGTCGTTAATTCGGACTCCCATAATCCGGACCTCAAAGCTAAAAACTTTCTGCCCATGCGCTGCGTTGACACATGCGCATAGGCGTTTATGCGTGCACGTAAGACCTTTTACCACTGTGCATATGCGTGTGCGCAAGCACAGAATACATTTCCGTGTGCGCGTTTTATGTATAACGGACGGTATAATCTAAAATTATCTAATTATCTATTTCAGTTAATGTTGATGATTGCGTTGTTCTTAAATCTTCGAATTGGATCCGGCTTATTATTTTTTGCAGACTGTAAGAGGAATTTTATAAAAGTAAACTTGAACTTTTGATTATGTCAAATGGAATTTCTGATTCTGGAGCTCCCAAAGGATCGTACAAAACGAAAGTATGTTTCAATGTCCATCAAACAAAAAGTGGAATTACTGCAAAAAATGGATAAAGATATGAAGAATGTGACAGAGAGGTTAGTGAAAACGAAAAAATTTCGATTGACAAGTTAGTCGGTATTCTCGGCACAACAATTATAGGACTTGAACAGCGGAACTTTGTAACTGAACAAGAAATTGTGTCTGTTTATAGAATTAAAGAGAAAGTATTATCACATAAAACGAAGCAACTTAAAACAACTCGCAAAACTACTCTGATATGCGCCCTCAAGTCGCCAAATATTTTTGGAGAGAAACTTCACGCTGCCATATTACTATCTAAATTTTTTTTCTACATTTCGAACTTTAAGCCTAAAATGTCTCCAAAAAACAGGTTTTCGCACATGCAAAACTACGTTTTGAACACACACGATTTAAGCTAAAATTCCGAAACAAAACAAAAAACTTAGATAGCAAAAACTAAGTTTCTAACCAAAAAATTTTGACAAGAATCCATGTACACAGCGACATTTTTTAACTTAAAAAAAAACATCTATGAATGGCACACTGTAGGAACGAATCTACGAACTACGTACACCTCGCTTTAATAAATTAACATAACAACAATAAATTTCAAAGAATACCATGTACACAGCGTTCTGTTTCAACTTTAAAAAACATCTACGAATTGCACAATCTACACTAAAAACAAATCAAGAAAATAAACTAAAATAAATTTCAGACAATTCAAAAAACAACAATAAAACGGAAATTCATACAAAAAACAATGAATATAACATTCTACAAAATAAAATGCACTTACCATAATGAAAGCTTCTTTTAAAAGCAGAAATATCTTTCCCCCCCTTATCTTTTCAGATACAGAGCATACAAAGTCCAAAATACATTCGTTAATAAAATTTTGCCAGTCACACAACGTCTGTGAAGAAAACTTCCACGATTTTGCTATATCACATGCCTTCCTACGATTCAAAATTTCAAAAGTAACAATAAAAACTTCCTCCAACGTTAACTTGCTACACGAAAACTTAAACTCCGCTGACACCCACTTACTTTATTAGCAACAATTTTACTGCAAACCCACACAAGTCTATCAGAAACACCATTTTTCGCCCAAGTTCCCATATCAGCTCCGCATTTCGGACACGTCAAACTTCGTTTTAAAAGTCCCTACTCCCACAGAAATTCCAAAAATACACTACGATCCCCATAAATACATCCGTGAACAAAAGACTCGTTAACAACTCCAACATCATACCTTTTCATACTAAAATTTACTCTGCACACAATCTAAAATACGCGGCTGAAACCTTCCCACCACGTCTTTCATCGCAACATAGGCCATTTCAAAAACACACGCGACACGAACCAACTAGCAATTATTAAACTACTCCACCAAAAGATTTTTCAACGTCGACATGGTTGCCATACAACATGCAATCGTGCCAAAAACCAGCGTAAAACGCATATCGCCACATTTGGTGAAATTAGGGCGTTTATTAGAGTTGTACCCAACTTGCATTGAAAGAAATGTTTAATAAAGTAAACAAATAAATATTAAGCTTTTTTTTTTTTTTTGTAAATTTTGATACCGTTTAGATTATAATTATTCTTTATTTCATAAATTAAGGTTTCATATTTTTAATTTTAGAATTTCTGCATGCCATCTTACGAGATTTAAACTGATGATCTAATCCGGAATCGCCGAAGTCCCGACGAGTCTGGATTAATGACTATTGACTGTATTCTGTGTAGTAGATCGTATGAAACCACAGCTAAAATATATGGATAAATGTGCCAAATTTAAGAAACGCTTCCATTTAACTAACATTAATTGCAAATTGTGCATAAATTTAGAACAGATGATCTTTTTCATTCCATATTTTTAAATCACCATTGAAATACTTGTTTAATGTATCGATAATGCTATAGAGCTAACAGTTAGGTAATTGCTTTAGGATGAAAAGTCTACAATAAATTTTTTTAAAGAAAAGGTGTCGTTCCTGATAGAAAATTATGTTTGAAGAGCCACAAGATGAGAATGTGATTACTTCATAACTCAATAATGGAATGGCACTTGGGAAATAATTGTACTGAGAAGAAAGGCTTAACACAATATTGGTTCAAAGGTTTAAAATTCCCTTCTTTACTGCTTGAGGTTCATCTGTTTTTGGTATTAAGACACAACATCTGTTGAATTTTGTGAACTCTAACTGAAGGTTATTATATACAGCACAATGGTAGACTAACCATTATATGCATGATAATTGTGTCAATGATTCATGCCTGTGTTAAATCAGTGGATGTGACAAGATAAACAAACCTTTTAGCTTGAAGAAAGTAAACGAAAACCTTTTAGCTTGAAGCAAGAACAATGTTGGGCATGTTCTTCTGCTGTATATTTTCAGCAGATTGCATGGAGAATCAAATGAATGTTTTAGTCACTTTTTCAAATTGAGTGGTGAGAACTTTATCAGATTTTATAAAATTAAATATCGCAGAAGGAAGCATTATTTATACTGATTGCTGGAAAGCATTTAAGTCAGATGAATTGGAGATGCCAGTATTAAACATTTTACTGTCAACCACAAATATTTCATGAATCCCAAAAGTGGGTGTCGTACACAGATTGGCTGTGGAGCAATGTTAAATGCCATAATACAGGGTTTGCCCAGAAAGTAGTAGAACTGAATTTAAAAATAAATTATTCACAATTTTGACATATAGACTTAATACAGAGGTTGTTCGCACATTTTTATATGATTTTCGTTGTAATTATAGAAATATTTTGCCTATCATTTTTATGTTTTAAATGTTCTATTTGATAACCCTTATTCTTTAGTATCTTTCTACACCATAATTTTGAAAACAGTCAAGCCTTTTGTAGTATCAAAAGAGATATTTTATCTGATTCCTCACGAACAGCTAGCTTGACGTTTTGATAACCCGCTTTTTAAAAGTGCAAAAATACATTAGTGACAGATCAGGAGATTTAATAGGGATCTGATTGAAGGGTATAGCCTTGATACCTATTTCTTTTTTTCAGGAAATTAACAATAGATTTTGATGTGTCGCTGCTTGCTTTGTCTTGATGCAGTACTACTGATTAGTCAGACTGTGTCTAAAGAGAAGATATTTCATATTGTTAATATTCTGTAATTGACTGCCCGATTCAGAGAACTGCTGAGTAATGCACTGTCGCCAAAGTAGCAACCCAGAACTGTTTTAAATCTGGCAACCCAAGAATGTTTGCGTATGCATTATGCTGGCACTGAGGTCAGCTTTTGAAATTTGATGGTCGTCTTTGTGGCTGCTGCTCATCAGCTGTTCTAATGTGATTGTGATAATAGTTAAACCAAATCAATGTGAAACGTTGAAGAAGAGTGGGAAAGTAGTTTGTCTTCGAAAAAAAGAATTTAGAGAATAAAAAAAGAAATAAAAAAGTAAAATAAAATTAAATAAAAAAAATTAGAGACCTTTAATAGAAGTTTTGCTATGTTTGGATCCGAGTCCGTATAAGAAAAGTTTTCTTGAAGCAGCCATAGACACATGAGCAATGGTCCAGCCTTTTGGAAAATATTGATCTCCAGAAAGCTAGGGGGGGATATATCAATTTTAGCTACCTATTTAATACATCTTGTTGTTTAGGAAATCTATATACTGACACTTTAGGGCCATCATTATAATATCCTTGGCATAACGGCACACAACACTTTAAAGGCATAAGGAAAACCGAAAAAAGTATCAAGATTAAATTAAGCAGATATTCAACCTACTAAAATAATGCTTTGGTTCATTAACACGTCCTCTCATGACCAAGGATGAAATTTCCCAAACTTGCTCATGCCAACTGGATGGCCTTGGTTTTGACCGAAGGGGTTATCTTTCGCACCCCATTAAGATAGCCAACAGTTTGTGACATCACTAAACTACCAGCCTTTAGTAAGGAGGCTTGTGTGTAAGAGGGTGTTGGGCATTGCTTACTGACTTCATTTTGTCTATGTACATGTCGATTTATTTTCACTTAAAAAGCCAAAGAAACACCCAATTCTACACTAGAACCAAACAAAAAATATATAATCTCAATAAACTGGATTTTAAATCTAACAATGAAATAACATAAAAAAGGAAATACATATTATCATCTACGCACTACACAAAGGAAATATGTGTTTACCTTATTTAGAAATTTTTGTCTCTTCAGTCTGTGGCACACAAAATTCCTTAACAGCATCCAAAAACTTTCCTCAAACCATGTTTCCCTTCTGATGGAATGCTTTATAATGAGCACTTGAACTTTTCTTGTGACAAACCCATTAGAACAATCTTTACGTTTGACCATATGCATTTCCTTCGTACAAGCAGGACACTTATAATTCCGTTGAATTACATCCAACAAAGATTCTTTTCTTGTGTCCTCAGTCATTTCGAAAAGAAGAAAAAAAAGAAAAACCCTTCTGTTCTTTCATTCTGTACAACCGAACACTCACTTTACTACTGGCAACCATTTTACGATGCACAGCACACAAAACGCAGTGTACTTCCTCACTGACATCCAACAAATATTTTCCCATCCATCAAATTCACCACAATTGGGCAACCAGTCACGTTATAATAGGGTCTCTGTAATATTCAACTACTCAGATTACAATAAATGAAACAACAACTAGTGATAATCAAAGGGGCACTCTAAAATACAGGCTAACCATCTAGGGAGCTGTTGCATCAAAAATATTCTGACCATATGTGTATAGTAGTTTGCATTAACAGTTGTGGCATTTCCTGTATAGTCTTTAAAATAATATGACCCAGTAATGCCACATAAGGAAAATGCACATCATACCGTAACCTTCAGCCTATGTAATGGCTTTTCATATAACTGATTTGAGTTTTCATCGTTCCACTGTCAGCTCACACAATCACCATTCTAAGAAACAATTTTATGTAGAAAGTATCCTATAAACTGTATCACTGATGTTGAACAATAATCGAAAATCATCATGTCCCCGTGTGAACAGAAAAATAAACTGCTGGACACTTCCCACTTCACTAATGAATCCTGTATATATAATCAAAATTTTGATATTATACTATGTTGTGACATGGCATGATCTTTTTTATAAGTTGCAATTAAATTCATTATTTAATAATATTTGAGCTCAAAAATTAAAAGCAAGTAAGCTCTCATAGCTCTTTTCGTAATGTAGAATCAAATACATAGAACTGCAATCCTCATTATAAGGAATGGCACTGTCAACCAGCCAAGTAATGGAATGTCTCTCCAATTATGGATGATGCACTTCCTTTAGAATTCTGTAGCAACTGGCGACTGTTGCCAAAATTTCCACCAGTGGTTGACGAGATAATACGGAAGTACCCAAGAAATATTTTGTAAGAAAGCGAAGACTCGCAAACAGAGATTCGACTAATATTGTGTTTTTATCTTGTGATGCTTATGTTTGGTAAATTTTCTTGATGTAAATTGTTGCAGTATTCTCATATTGATGTATTGTTTAAATGTTAATTTTTTTTCTCCGTATTTAATATTTTAGTCACTGAGAACAAGAGAAAATCTTGTGACCAGCTTGAAAACAGCTCTGCAAAAACTAAGAGAATGGAGACAAAGCATAAGTGTTCCGATCTTATTGTTTTGGGTTTACCATGGAAAACAACAGAACAAGAGCTTCGTCAATACTTTGAATCATTTGGGGAAGTTTTAATGGCACAAGTAAGAATTTATTTTAAAAAGTGTTCTTTAATGTCATAATATACGACAAATGTCTTACTGATACAGCTGGTAAAATTTGTATTGTCAATTTTCATAGAAATGCCAACCAATTTTAAGAGGTTCATATGATGTTTGATATATTGGAGATATTTCACTTGTAATTCACTTTGGTAACTTTTGGATTAGCCATCATGAGTATGTTAAAAATATTAATATTATTGAGTTAATGGAATTCATGTGTTGTAAATTATGTCATTAATGTATATATTTTCTTTTTGATTTGTTCTATCAAAATTTTTCCTTTGCATTTTATAAAATTAGTACTTATGGAATTTAATTAAAAGATATATAGTACTACAGATATTTTTCCAAATTTTCCCCCCTTTTCCGATTAAAGAACTGTAATTCATCCATTAATGTCACATGACATATCTCATGATCTCTCATTTCCCTCACACAAAATAATGTGTAATCGGAACTGAGTACTTCTCACATTATTACCAAAGTCCTAGGAAGTAACCTTTATTGCCTCCAAAATGTCGCCAAACTACCTGTTACCATATTCCAAAGATCAGCCAATAAAAGATCCAAAACCTTTTACCTCTAAATTATCTATTATATTATAAACGTCACCAACGAATTCATACCGCAAACATTAAAAATGGTTACAAATACTTAGTGTCAACTATTTAAATTATTTCCATGCACGTTTACTTCCACTGAAACGTATACCAAATACATATAATTCACAAAATAACTATCATTTAATTAAAATATAATTAAATTCAAAAACACTACTTAAAATATAAATGAGCACATACATTAAATTAATAAAAATTACCTTACAATCCTAATTACTTTAAACTAAATCATTGCTAATAACAATTTTCCCAATAATACCAAATTCCTTTCCACCTTACATTTAGAACAATGCATAAAAATAATATCCTCAAATAATTAAAAATACTAACTTACCTAATCTTCTTCAGAATCTTGATTACGTGGCGGATACACTTTTTTTCTAATTCATTCAATAAAATTATTGAAAGATTTTTTCTGCGAATTTTTCCTCCATACTTCCTCCGCTAAATAAAAAGCAAACTTCTCTTTATTATCCAATGCCTAAATACCCATTTCGAATTCACTTTAGTTAGGGCCATGGGATCCAAAAATTAACGAACACTGTTTCACACATAACACAGAATAAAGCTAAATACAAAATTTCCAGATTTTTTTCCCCGATTTCCCCCCTTTTCCGATTAAAGAACCGTAATTCGTCCATTAATATCACATGACATATCCCATGATCTCTCATTTCCCTCACGCAAAATAATGCGTAATCGGAACTGAGTACTGCTCACATTATTACCAAAGTCCCAGGTAGTAACCTTTATCGCCTCCAAAATGTCGCCAAACTACCAGTTACCATATTGTAAAGATCAACCATTTTATTTATTTTATATGTGGAAATGTTCATATTTGGAAAGGGTAAATACAGTAAGACCGCGCTTAATGCTGTTTCGTTTAGCGCTGTTTCGGTTTAGCGCTCTTTTATTTCAACCCAGGGATTCTCCGAAATTGTGCGCAGCGCTAGGTTTCCAAATAACATATCCGAAACAGTGTAGTTGTGTTTCTTGCTTTACGGTGCTGTACGGACGTATTTTTATCATTTGAAACATTTGTTGACATTTATTGTAAGTTTAAATTTGTATAATACTATAACGATTAATACAGTGACAAATATTATGATCTTTATTTTTATCATGGGTGATAATAAAAAACAAGAAAAGAAAGCAACCAGAAAAAGCATTTCACTGGAAACTCAAATGCAAGTGATTAGAAGATTAGATTCCGGTGAACGTCAATCTCAAATTAGTGCTGCATTGATTTTGGCAACTTCAACAATAAGGACAATTCTTAAGAATAAAGAAAAAATACTGTCATCGGCAACTGCAACTACGTCAAGCTCTGCAACTAGAATTACCCGTTCTAGAAATAACATTATAGAGGAAATGGGAAAAAGACCGTCTATATGATTTGACGACGAAATTGAACGCAATGTGCCATTAAGCCAATCTATCATAATGCCTTCTTGACAAAAAGGCAGAAAATTGGAAACCCAGAATAGACTGAATGATCTGACTGAGAATTTTATTTGTTTTTAAAAGTATATGCGTTTATATTGTTTTTATTTTTGTAAGAAATAAATGTTTGATTTTATTTTTATTAAAAAAAAATTATTAAATTTAATGCCTAACCATTTTTTATCCGTCTTTCCCTAACCCCATTATTTACATGTTAAGATAGCCTCGCTTAACGCTGTTTCGCATTACGCTCTACTTCGATGGAACGTATCCCCCGTGTTAAGCAGGGTCTTACTGTACTTTTTCGCGATCAGGTAATTTCATGTATGTTCTTTTTACCGGGTTTAAAGATTGAGAAAATTGTCATGTATTCGTGAAATTTTTCTAATTTATGAGAAAAAAGCAGTGTACATGGATATAGTGAAGAGTGTGCGCAATTCCATTTTTGTGCAATTCTGGGATTTTTTTTAAGTAACAATAAGTCGACATGTACATGGTTTAGTGATATTTTAATTAAATGATAGTTATTTTGTGAATTTTATGTTTGTAGGAATTTGGTACGTTTAAGTTGAAGTAAACGTGCATGGAAATAATTTAAATATTTGATACTAAGTATTTGTAATGCTTGCGGTATGAATTCGTTGGTGACGTGTATAATGTAATAGATGATTTAGAGGTAAAAGTTTTTGGATATTTTATTTATTTTATATGTGGAAATGTTCATATTTGTAAAGGGTAAATACTTTTTCGCGATCAGGTAATTTCATATATGTTCTTTTTACCGGGTTTAAAGATTGAGAAAATTGTCATGTATTTTCGTGAAATTTTTCTAATTTATGAGAAAAAAGCAGTGTACATGGATATAGTGAAGAGTGTGCGCAATGCCATTTTTGTGCAATTCTGGGATGTTTTTTTAAGTAAAAATAAGTTGGCGTGTACATGGTTTATGTATATGTGTTATTTTGAAAAACGCGTAAGGAGTATGGTATTGTGCACTTTTTCCCAATTTTGCAGTGAATATTTGTCATGATTAAGCAGTTTTGTTTGATAAAATTTCTAGCATAAGTGTAATTCGGCTAGTAGATTGTTGGAAGAAGTGTTCAGTAGATAAATAGAAAAGAAACATGTCTTTACTTCGTGAAGACAAAATGGCGGCGGGGAAAAAAAAATAGAGGGTTGCTATAGGAGAGTTGGTTGCCAAATTTTCGCCAAAAAATCGCCAAGTTACCATAATGTAAAGATCAAACCTATATTTTTATTAGTGTTGATTAATTTTTGGATTGCATGGCGCTGTCTAAAGTGAATTCTAAATTTTTAATGCGTTTATCTGATAATTCAAATAATTGGTTGAATAGTGTATGAGTGTAGGTTTAATTGCGGATAAGTATGAATGTCCAAAATGTGGGAATGAAATGAGATTGTGTGAAAGGAAGGATATTACACATAAGTTTGAATGGCGGTGCAAGAAATCTGGTGTAAATGAACATTTTGTGAAACAGAGTGTAAAGAAGGGTACGCGGTTTGCTGAAAGTCGTTTGAGTATGGGTGAAATTTTATTAATTTCTTATTATTGGGTGAATAGACTGCCAGTTGACTACTGGATTTCGGATTTAGAAATTAGCAGTAGTACTGCAGCTGATTGGAATTCTTTCTGTAGGGAAGTGTGCGTGGAATTTTGCGAGAATGATATGGGTATGCTTGGTGATAGAAAGGGTATGCGAGATAGAAGTAAAGATTGCTTATTAAGTTTTATTAAACAGTATATTCTACCTGGTACAATAATCATATCTGATTGCTGGAAATCATATGCATGTTTGGAGGATGAAGGTTTTCAACATCTTGCTGTGAACCATAAATATCATTTTAAAGATCCTGAAACAGGTGCACATATGAATACAATAGAGGGCACGTGGAGTGCTATAAAAAGCGCCATTCCGAGGCATTGTGATAAAGAGAATTTTGCTTTTTATTTAGCGGAGGAAGTATGGAGGAAAAATTCGCTGAAAAAAATCTTTCAATAATTTTATTGAATCAATTAGAAAAGTGTATCCGCCACGTAATCAAGATTCTGAAGAAGATTAGGTAAGTTAGTATTTTTAATTATTTGAGGATATTATTTTTATGCATTGTTCTAAATGTAAGGAGTAAATAAAGTAATATGGTATTATTGGAAAATTGTTATTAGCAATGATTTAGTTTAAAGTAATTAGGATTGTAAGCTAATTTTTATTAATTTAATGTATGTGCTTATTTATATTTTAAGTAGTGTTTTTGAATTTAATTATATTTTAATTAAATGATAGTTATTTTGTGAATTATATGTATTTGGTATACGTTTCAGTGGAAGTAAACGTGCATGGAAATAATTTAAATAGTTGACACTAAGTATTTGTAACCATTTTTAATGTTTGCGGTATGAATTCGTTGGTGACGTTTATAATATAATAGATAATTTAGAGGTAAAAGGTTTTGGATCTTTTATTTATTTTATATGTGGAAATGTTCATCTTTGGAAAGGGTATATACTTTTTTGCCATCAGGTAATTTCATATATGTTCTTTTTACCAGATTTAAAGATTCACAAAATTTTCATGCATTTTCGTGAAATTTTTCTAATTTATGAGAAAAAAGCAGTGTACATGGATATAGTGAAGAGTGTGCGCAATGCCATTTTTGTGCAATTCTGGGATGTTTTTTTAAGTAAAAATAAGTCGAAGTGTACATGGTTTAGTGATATTTTAATTAAATGATAGTTATTTTGTGAATTTTATGTTTGTAGGAATTTGGTATACGTTTCAGTTGAAGTAAACATGTATGGAAATATTTATTTTATACCTGGAAATGTTCATCCTTGGAAAGGGTATATACTTTTTCGTGATCAGGTAATTTCATATATGTGCTTTTTACCAAGTTTAA